AAAATGCCTGTGTTTTGCTTGTACAGGGAGCCCAAAACTAAACAGTAATCCAGATGTGGTCCTGCAAGTGCCTATAAGGATACTATGGGAACTGTGACAAAGCCATTACTAAAGGTATACAACATTCACTGCTCTCCCCTCATCCACCAGAGCCAGTCATCTGATTGTAGAAAGTAATCAGGTTAATCAGGCATGACAATTTGTGGTAAATCCCTTGGTAACTCCATGCTGCCTGTTCCCAGTCAACTTCTTGTCTTTCATGGGGATGGAAATGGCTTCCAGGAGGATTTTCTCTGTGATCTGTCCAGGAACTGAGGCGAGGCCGAGGCCCTTTTGAAAATGTGTATGATGTTTGCCTTTCACCAGTCATCAGATGTCTCCTCTAATTGCCATCACCTATCAAAGGTGTTAGAGAATATCTTTGCAATGGCATTGACCAGCTTCCTCAGCACCCCTGGATGCATCCCATCTGGTCCCGTGGACTTGTGCATGTCCAGATGGCTTAAGTACTTCCTAATTTAATTTTTTTTTTTTTTTTTTTACTGTGGGTAATGCTGCATACCCACAGACGGGGACTGGCAGAAGGCTTCGAGAGCTGGAACACCAGAGGGCAGACCTTCCAGTGAAAACCAAGGCAAAAGTGTACCTCTGCCTTTTCCAGGTTCTTTGTCATACAGTGAGCCTATTTTCCTTAGCCTTCCTTTTTGCTGCCACTGTCTTTATAGAGTCCTCCTTGTTGCCCTTCACATTCAGGCTGGTACCAACTCCAGCACAGCTCTGGCTTTCCTGACTCCATCCCTACCTGCTCAGACAATGCTTCTGTATCCGTCCTGGGTAGTGTGTCCCTACCTCCGTCTTCTATGTACGTTCATTTTGCATTTGGGTCCAGGCACACATTCATCCATCCTAGCCTTCTGCTAGTGGTGCTCAAGCTTCTGCCCATTGAAATGGGCTATTTTTGTTTTTTGAGGAGGTTGTCCTTAAGATCAGCCAGCTGTCCTGGGCACCTTCTGAAAACCTTGTTAGGGGTATGACATACTTAGTGAGATCATATGTTCCTTGGAAAGAAAATCCTAACATTAAATCCTAAAAACTGATACATTTGCGGTTGAACTCAAATACAGATGCTAGAATTCCTGTAACACACATCAGCTACGTCTCCTTCAAGTAAATATTTCTATAGTACGTTTTCTTCTACCTGTTTCTCACTTTAATATCTATGTTAATACATAATTTCCATTTCAGTAGAGTTTAACTGTAATGCTTAAACATGAAATATCAATTAGTGTGTGGTACTGGAAATATTACACAAGTGTTATCTACCTTGAAACAAGTACTGTATGAACGGAATTGACTTAGGCCACAAATTAGTGTTCAGACTAGGGTGTCATTGATCTCAGTGGTACCCTAAGTTAACATCAAAAACAATGAAATGGTTTTTAGCAGAAATCTGGACTTTCCGGAGTGTTCTCAATCACTGAGAAGAATGAAACTCAGTCAGGGAGTTCTCTGGCATAATTGATTTCTTTATGAAAGTTCCAGTTCCTTGAACAGCATCTGAAATGAATGGAATCTAGGGAATTGTGTTGATGGAAATAACAGATGAAATACCACAAGATCTGTCAAAAGTAATCTAATTCTTTTTGAGCAACCACTGTTCTGTTTACTCACTCCCAGTCCTTACCAAACTACAAACTATCTTTGTAGACCCTCAATTCTCAATTGGAACCAAAAGCTAGGTCTGTATTGCTAAATAAAACTGGCCGAGGGATTGAGCTTGAGCACCAGACTGCTTTTGTTCATGCAGTTTAATTGCTGTAAGCTCGCTGGCATGTTTTTGGTGTGTAACACTTAGAGCTCTGTAGGACCTGTCTCTCCTGGCATGGTTTGGGTGATGCAAAAATGGCAGAAACTGTTTCCAGTAGACAGTATAGGCAAGAGTCCGCCTTGGTTTCCTTGCAGCCTGTTCAGCCATCCCAGCAGGCCTTGCAGCCTCAAACACCTCACAGGCCTTCATGTCCCATAGTAGGGCAAGGAATATACAGCCTTCGTTTTCATACTGTGAAAACACTGTTCTAATGACTGTGATAAAGTGTGCACAGGCACTTTGAACTGAAAAAAACACCCAAAGAACGTCTTATGGGTATGGGGTACTATGTAGGACTTAGAGCTGAGTAAAGCCAGGAAGATCCCACAGGCAAATATAAGGTTAGATGTTTAGGAAGAAAGAATGTGAGCTGTACTTGCAAAATGAGAATACTGCTTCACCATGACCCTAACATTTCTAATTATTTATTTATTTTTAAGAGAGACTGGTTTACAGAAGAGTCTGGTGAACAGGTGCTGTATGTAAAGTCAGTGCCTTAGGTACCTGTTCCCTGGGCTAGTGATTACACTTTGTCCACGTAAATATGCATATTATTTCATCCAGATAGGCTGTTGTTTGCTTCCTGTCAAACCATAGTGTGCCACTGAATAATTGAGTCATAGATGTGTAAACAGGCCGAATGCTGTGTTCTTATCTCTTTCACACACACCCACAGTTGAATTGAGGACTAGTGTTAAAACAGTGAAGTCAAGCATAAAGCATTAGAAAATTCGAGAGGTAAGGTTGCCTGTGCCTTATGGCTCTAGAAACTAAAGCAAAGCCAGGACTGATGCTGCATGTGCTCTCGCGCCCTTGTATCACACACAGAATGGACAGCAATCAATGGACAGCAGTTCTTTCTTTCTCTTTGTTCAGTATGTGGCTGTTGGCTTTCTATTTAAACTCTACCCTGGAGACAGAGTTATGAATTTCCTCATGGTCTCTCGTGCAATGCTTATCAGAGCAAAAAATTTTTATGAATTAGAATTTTTGTGAAGTGCTCAGCTCATGTTCCAGCATTCTCATGGCAACTTGGCCTGGAAGTTTTGCAGGTACTGACTAACAAAGAGGTTAGAATCAGAAATCTGGGATTTGGCTCCAGCCTCCAAACGTGTGCACTTCGTGGTAGGGGATTCTCAGTGGAAGTGCTCAGGTTTGATTCCCATGTCCCAGGTTCTGCAGTCTGTCTCAGTCGCTTTACCACTCTGGGTTTGCCCTACTCTCTTGAAGTAGCTCCTCAGACGTTTCCAGAGTCGTGTCTCCCTGCTGCAACCTCCTTTCTCTCTGCTAAAGGTCACTTCTGGCACCGTTAGCTTCCTAGCTGCTCATTCAATCAATGTTTTTTCAGTCAGCTTTCTATGTAAGTGCAGCCTGTTCCGTATGTTCCTTCTGTTCTTGGTCTTACCAAAGGCCATTTCCCAGCAGCCCTATCTAACCAGCTTCTCTTTTGTCTCTTCTGTGGTCATGTTGGGGTGCCTCTGTTTGTATGCTAGCTGTATGCTGGAGAATAGAGTTCTCTCTGAAAGCAGCAAAAGAGAAGCCACGTGCTCATTTTTTATAAGGAGAGTCTGGCTTCATTTGTAAACTTGGCCTGGGAAGGTTTGTGCTCAGTTGCCTGTGGAAAAATGGTGTGGCTGCCATCTGGTCAGCACTAAGTATAGTGAGAGACTTGAGTACTCAAATTGGAGATACGAGCTTATAAAACCTGAAGTCCAGACTTCCTATCTGGGCCCAAAACATGAGGTAGCTGGTGTTTTTCAAAACTGGATCAATGAGACATTTGACTCTCTTTCTGGTTGAGCTATGTTGTGGCTAAAATTTTGGAAAAAGATAACTGAGGGAGACACCTAGCATTGAGAATTTTGCCTTGCCTGGTCAAAAGTTACTGAATGTATTCCAGCTAAAAATGTAGTTTTTACTTAGAAAACTTTGAGCAAATACAACAATAGGCAACACTTAGATGTGTTTGTCATAGGTTTAAATGAAAATTCTGTGTTATATGAGGAAAGCGTTTGGCCCTCGGTTTGATAAGTTTTGCCATGACATGGTATAGAAGATGCTACAACGTGGTAATTTTTATTTGTGACAAGAGAGGGGTATTTTAGTATCTAAATTCTATTCAGAATTATATTTTAAAGATGCTTATTTTGACTGATAAATTTTTATTTTGTTTAAGTGCCTGGAGAAAATAAAGAAACATGGATGGTCATAAGTAGTAAGTATCTTCTTCATTTTTATTATTCTAAAAAGCTAATAGTGTTAGGCCTGTTGATTTATCAGTGCCCAGGTCTATCATGCACTATGTTCTGGCCTCTGGTATTTCTATGAAGTCACTGGTAGACATGCTCTTTAAAAAAGAATAAAAATAAAAAATGAAAAACTGCCAAGTTATCATCAAAGAAGGGAAAAACAAGTAAATTGGCTAGTTGGAAAAATAGCATGTGTTATCAATTTCCTGCTTAACAGAAATAACTGTGTGAACTGTTTTATTTAAAAGGATTTGTCCATGGTCTTCAGCTTTAGAATAAAGCACATTCTTCTTTTAGTTATACTTTATTATGTTTTTGATTATTTAACAACACCTATATATATGTATATATCCATGATTGCTTGACACAAAACCTATATATTAAAAGGTATTGACTAGTGTCTACCAGTAAAAAATGTTCCCCAAATATTTTGGCATCGTTCATCATCTCAAACATAAACAGGAGCCACGAATTTCCCCAAATGAAATTAGCAGTTAAATTTGCCTATTTTGGTAAAGGATTATATTCCTGTTATTCCTCCGATTGGTTTTTCAGTCTCTAATTCAAGAACCTGTATTAATCCCAGGATTATTTTTGTGACCTCATATTAATAACGCATTTTTATTCCTTTCACCATGCCCCCAGAATTTCTAGTGACCTCCAGTGAGGTAGATTTTTAAGGCTGGTTGACAGCAAATGAATTAAGATATTTTCTGCATTTGACCGCTGAACTGAGATATCGGTTATTTGCACAGCTGTAGCACAAGTTAAAAAGCACACAACTAGCTAAAAAGCTAGAGTCTTGATACCGTCTTGTGACCTGTTTCATTCTGAATTGTTTTTAAAGTAATGCTGTTTTTATTGGAGTTAAACGCCGATATATTCTATTTTCTCATAATGCAGGGGGATCTGTCAGGGAGGTAAATCTTCTTGTTATTATTAGAAGTTGTAGATTCTGTCTTTTAAAGATGCAACAGATATTGATTCAATATATGCTTCACCTGGCTTGATATGCTGTCCATTGTCAGAGTGTGCATAATGATTTGTGCAAAATTGCACGTTAAATGTGTGTTTTGCATGTTACATATTTTGTGCTGTAGTACAAACAAGGCCCTTTAATCTTAATGAAGTTTATAAAGTAAACTCTTCAATAATAATTCTTAACATAAATTTAAATGGGTGCATATTTTGCTTTTAGAGCTTGAGGAGTAACCAATCAGTGCTTTATATGATACACGGGTTTCGAATTGTTTGTCCTTGCTTGTTTCCAGTTTAATTTCTTATCATCTCTTTGATGATTAAACCACTCTCTCCTAAACTGCAGATTAAAAGCAACAAACACAAATAACAGATCACTGTCAAACACGTTTCCCGTGAGGTTAAACTCTGTCATTAGTAACTACATAGGGCAGAAGTGCCGCCCTTTCTTGGGAGTGGACGCGCCAACGGCTTGTTTCAGAGTGGCCGTAGCATTTCATGACTTAATGTGTTTGCCGTGTCCGAGGACTTCTCGGGGGAAGCATCTCTAAATCATGTTGTGTGAACTGATCTAGTCAGCAAGATCTCACTAAGACACCCCAGTTTGTCACCCCACAGATGGAAATTTTTTTTTTTTATATTAAGTAAACTCAACCTCTTTAAATTTTTCTAGAATATTTATTACTGTAAGTTTCAGCAAGCTTTCACTTTTAAAGATCTGCAAAATCACTGCAACTTTTTATATGTGTACATAGAGGAAAGGACATCTACTTTTACAGAAATTAATAATGGAATAACTCTTTCTAAAAGAGATCAATATTACATTGTAAAGCTGTATTTCTATGCTTCGGATGGCTTAAATGTTGCGGAATATGCAGATTCTGTTTAGATTACACTGTTTATTAGAGGGATGCCTATCATCGCTTATTACAAAGTAGTTGTTGGAAAAAAAAAATAAATAAAAACCTTTTATGCACATACGATCATTTAGTCCTTGCAGATCTACATAGTAAAAAAGACATGAGCTATCAATCCGTCTTGCACATAGCATGCTCAAAAGAGAGGGATATTCTTTTTTTTTATTTTTTATTCAATTCTAAAAGAGGAAGCGTAAGAAGTGGTCTAATTCCATCCATAAAACGTACTTTCTGAAATCCTGACACTGCTGAGATTGCATGAAAATTCCACTGTCTGTTTAAGCAAGTCTACTAGTTCCTATTAAGTCTGCCCTACTATTAGTTAGATCTACTTGTTCTAAATATTTTTATATATTTTAATTGCATGGGCTATAAATCATTTCATCATATGTTGGGAAGAATTATTTACAGTTGATTATTTGGCAATACTGCATACTAAAGATATTCAAATGAAAATCAGTTAATATTATTTTCCAGAGTGGGATGGGAAATACTTGTGGAAATATAGCACTAATTTTAATAGCTTTGTTATTAATATGTTATGAGTAAATGCATATTAGAATACATATGCCTGCATGCAAATATTATATTCTTGATGGAAGTGTATTTACTTAGCTTGTCAGACTTATTTTTTAAGCATCCTGTTGAAGTATTGCAATTTTTTTTCTTAATGTTTTAGCAGTTATTCAAGGGAATTTTATGATCAATATGCTCAAAGCCAAGAAAAATCTGTGGTCAATAAAATGCAGCAGAAATACTGGAAAACAAAACAAACCCTTATAAAAGTCACAGGAAAAAAGGAAGATGAACATGTTGTGGCTTCAGATGCAGACCTGGATGCAAAACTTGAGGTTTGTAATGTCTACATAATGCATATTCTCCAATTGTTAATCTTAAAAATGTTTTCATTTCTGTCAAGCATCTCTGATGTGTGTGTGTGTGTGTGTATGCTTATGTATGTATATATATATATAAAATTTAGTTATATGAACATTCACGTTATTACCATTCTTTTGTTATCTTACTGTTAATATGCTTTCTAATTTGTACAAAAGTACTTTATGGGGAGTATACTGTCATTTTGTAACACAAAAGAACATGTCCCTCAGACTGTATGTATTTTGAGCCCAACATCTCTTGTATCCCTTTTCAGGTTTTTGGGGCAGTTTTTCTCATGAGGGGCTGGGGGTGCAATTCTGTCTTACTATCTTTTGTGCTTCTGTCAGTTTAAAACATATTATTTTCTTAAAAAGAAAAATGTAATCTCTGCTATAGCATTCTTTCATAAATACCACTTTGCAAAGAAAGATTAAGGTACATAGTGCACTCTGCTCTCTGCAGCTTGTGTGCGGATTAGTGGTTTTCAACATGTTGTCCAAAGGCAGTTTCTGAAAGTTGGTAAAGGGTAACCAAAAAAAGAATCCTACTATGTGATGAATCCAGTCCTACTGTCAATATCCCCATCCCCACTGGAAAAAATATAAGGCTCTACAAATGGAAAAGCTTGAATATCTTTTACACAGAGCAAAAAGAAAGTGGGATCCCACAGTATAGTAACCAAGATAGTGTTTAGCTAAGTTTTATCGGTATCATTTTGTTACATAAAGGTAAATGTTTTACATTACTGTTTTTCTTGCAGTCGTAGAAAGCTGTTGACTTGCTCTTCTGGGTTCTATACATGTTTTAGCTGAAATCCAAGTGGTTATTTGACAACAAAAAATCTTGTGATAGTGATAACTTGCAACATGATGATTTCAGCTGTGTGGTTTTCATGATCGGGTATGTCAAGCATGTTGAGGTAAAACAAGTTGGAGGAACAGAAACAATGTTTTAGAGGCATATCATTGAGTTCCTGCCATGCTGTTTGTATTGCAGATTCATCAGTAAGGATGCTTTGTTAGCTCAGGTGGGATTGAAAAAGGGAAATATGTGTTTACGAGCTAGAAAAGGACAAACATTTTCACTTGGACAACAACTTCACTGCAAGTCATGCTCTCAGTTTAAAAGGCAAGGTCCATGTAAATGTACAGGAAGTCAAGCAGATGCGAAGGATGACAGGTTCTGTGCCAGCAGTCCATTTTGCTTATATTTGTGTAGTGCTTGATATAGTGGCGTTTAGGTTTAAGTTAGATAGAAGATTTTAGAGGGGTTGCTATGAGTCTGTCTGTCTGTCTGTTTCTAGAAACTGTCTCCAAACCTGGTCAAGATTCTTGAATTTTTTCTTTATTTCCTTTGAAAACAACAGCTTTATAAATTTGGTTAGAGAACTTCAGCATGGAATTGTGCCAGTAAAGAGTCCAGTTAAAATAAATAATTTTCTGTTTTGATATACATATTTGCAAGTTTGTGACACTATACTTTGCGGCATTAAAATTTTAGTATACGTATTGCCATTTAACATGTTTCAGTGACATTTTTGATAGACATTTTAATAGCTTTTTGTTCTGGTGGGGGTTGTTTTTTGAAAAAAAGAGTTTTGTAAATGTCTCCGTATATATCTAAAGATATCAGTAAAAAAAGAAAAATGTAATTTAGTTAACTATCAGCTGTTTTGAATAAATGTTTTTATTTTTATTTACCCTTTGTAGGTTTTGATTGTTCTGTCTGTAGTTTCAGTGAACAATTTGATTGAAAGAAAAGCACAATTGATAAGAAAAATACTTTTTTCAAGCTGGAAAGACTACTTCTTGTTCCAGAAGGAAATAGCGATCCCTAATAATTTTTACAAAAATTGAGACAAGCTCCTTCTTTGTATTTTAATATTCAATGTTTCTTGCGTACACTTACAGGTTTTTTTTGTGCCTGTATTCTGTTTCAATTTCAGCTGTTCCATTCAATTCAGAGAACATGTATGGAGTTGCTGAAAGCAATTGAACTATATCAAAAGAGGATTTGTTGTAAGTATAACCAATTACTGTAGCTAAGAGGAATTCTGTAGTGTGGAATCATCTAACTAGTGAAAAAATAAAAATGAGAATGGGGAACTGCTACTGTTTCATCATAGTTAAAATTAAAGATGACCTTCACTGCAAACAGTTTTAAAGGCAAACTTGCTTATATGCTTAAAGGTTTCCTAGTTCTTCTTAAGTTTTATGTTTGATATTATGTAGTGATAGCCAGAAACAATTATGGAAATAGGCTTGCTGTTTAAGGGTTTATTTTTCATTATTTACTTGGCCTGTCTAAATTCACAAGTGCTTTGCCTTAGAAATTCTAACTTGTTTTTCATCAGGCCTGACTGTGAAGAATATAGGGCTCATTACTAGTTTGGCAATTAAGTAATCCACACTATTACAATGAATTTGATAAATGGCTGTAACAAATGGACAGTCATTAGTGAGAAACAGAAATCTAATTTGGGAAGTTTCAAACAGGAGGTTATATTAAATGACCTCCAGAGGTCTTCTCCAGTCAGTATTTTTGAATTCGGTGCTGCCATGATTTCTGGCCTGGAAAAGAGTATCAGCTTTGCTGGAGATATCTTTTAATTTTATTTTCTTTTGTTGAATGTCATACATACTTTCTCTATTCTCTTCCTCCAAAGAAGCAAGTCGGAGATAATGTTTCAGAATATTGAGGTAGAATTAGAATACAAAATAGTCCTGTGAATCGAGCATACGCAGTGTTTCACACTAGTAGGTGAAATCTCTGATAAAAAGATGTACGTGCAACATGTTCTACCGGAAGTTCTACCAGAATATGCTATGGATCTGCATTGGATTTGACTGTCAAAACTTAGAAAAATGACAAGAATACTTCAAAAGATCTTCTTTTATAATAGAGACTATTCTCCCCATTGAGAGTGGGAAGAAATGGATACCATAGGAGACAGCCAATTTGGAAGACTAATGTATGAGGCCATAATGAAATATTTATATGAGGATGCAAGATCTTGATGAACCAGGATTCCAGTTTGGAAGTATCCAACTTGTCAGTGTATAAAGACTTTTAGTTTTCATCCTGTTCTTGTTTAAAAAACACTTTGTTATGAGTAGAAATATTTCAGATATTGCTATGAGAAATTCAAAAACAGTGTTAGAAATGAGAAAATATTAGAATTGTATAATGATCCTACAATGTAATTTTAAAAAAATGGTGTTTAACACAAAGAATTAAATTCTTCCTATAAAAAAATTCACTTCTGTAGTTGAGCATGAAAAAAGGGAGAGCAAGAAAAACAAGCAAGTAAATGAGCTTTAGGTAGCATAACTCAGAATTACCTTCAGTGAAAGTAGGCTAACTTAGATCAGCTGAGATAGTCCAGGTGCTACACAAAGAATAAAAAAAGAAGGCTAAAAATACTTTGATCGGGCCACTGTTTGGCCCTTTATGTAATCAAACCAAGCTTATTCCTTTATTCAACAAAGAAATAGCGTGTTTTTCCTGTTGCCTTTCAGCACTGACGTAATTTTGTGGTTCATGTTACAGTATAGCAAACCTATCAATGGATCTCTCAAGTGAATCTGATCCTCTGTTTCATAAATGCGGGAATTCCATGAATTTTTTTTTTTCCTTTACTACTTGGTTTTGGAGTTACTTATTCTATTTGGTGTTAGGCCAGTGTTAAACTGTTCGAGACCTGTTAAATCACATGTTTGACTGCTTGTTTATTTTTCGTTAGTTCTATCTCAGGAAGAAAATGAATTGGGGAAATTTCTTCGATCACAGGGTTCTCAGGATAAAACAAGAGCAGGAAAAATGATGCAAGCCACAGGAAAGGCCCTCTGCTTTTCTTCTCAGCAAAGGTATATATGTCATCGTTACTGTCTGATTTACAAAATAGAGGGGATAACGGTGGTTGATTCTCTGTTGCCGTATTTCCTATTACCATTCTAAGTGTATGAGAAACCAAATGCCAAATGATACAAAAATTATTATTGGCTGAAACTGCTGTAGTATTGGCAATACTATTGGCTTGCTCTGTGCAGTTTTGCCTGATCCTGATTTTAGGCACGTGGCCCTGCAGTTCCCCCACCCACACTTGTACAGCTCTGGAATTGCTGAGCTGAACAAGTGCTAGCTGCATGGCCTCTCCAGCAGTGGGATTGTAAGGAAACTGTTGTCGGCTCCCTATTTTCTGCTTGGTGAACTTCTCACTCTGCAGAGAAGTGCTAGAGCGGGCCTGCTATGGAGGTGTAGGTGTCTGGGACCTGGGAGGCCAGGGAAATGGGTAAGAGAAAGCCATCTTCTGGACTATGGACTGTCGTACTCCAAATGGACAGGGGAGAAGGAAGGAGTCTAAATGCTGTTTTTTGCTTTGCCTTACACCATGAAGTTCCTCAGAAAAAAAGCCTAGATTCCCACTGAGCTTGGATTGGGTAGGAGCAACTCAATAAAAGGTGAGAGGGACACGCAGGAACATAAACACTTGCTTTTGTCTAGAGTTGTTGAGATCTCACTGAACCTGTGTTTGAAGGGTTTAAAGGTGATGGTACTTGATGGTATTATGAGTGTTATGATGCTTTTTTCCTAGTATTGGTACTGTGAAAGCCTGAAATTCTTTATCATTCACACGGGAAAATGCTATTCCATCGTGTAAGAAATTATGAATCAAATTCTGTGCTCTTGCAGGATTTTTCAGTGCTCTTAAAGCTGGAACATTTCACAGCAATAGTTAGCTTAACAGTGCAGCTGTTTGGCTCAAAATAAAACATCACACACTGATTTCGTATGTTTATCTTGGGCTAGAGTTTGGTCCGTTAGCACACCCAGTAATAGCTGTGAGTGGGATCTTTGAAACACATGTAAGGCACCTTTGAGCAAAAGCCTTAATGATTTGCCTCTTAAAGTTTAACTGTTTACAGAATCTCACTGTAAAACATGTCCACGTAAACTGAATTTTCCTTTGAATGCCTGGCTAGGTTCTTGTAGAATGTAGGGGAAAAATGTGTATTACACCCAAAAAAGCCACAATAAAATGTTCACGTTTAAGCGTCTTTTTATGCAAGTTTATTTCAAAAGATGCTTGGGGAAAAAAATGCATCAAGTAAAAGAAAACCAGTTATTTGGCTTTCCTCCCCTTCTTGTGCTTTCCATCTTTTTGAGCCATCCTCATCTTAGACTCGGGACTATTCTTATTTGTGTTGTCTGCTGATAGGTAGCTCAGTAGCTGGAGGTCAAGAAGACATAATTTGCTGGCTTTTGGAGCTGAAATTAGGAATTCTGTTATGCCTTCAGAAGTCCTGAAGTAGCAAATGAAACTCGCTTTACACCAACATTGAGCTGACTGAACCCGTCCTAGTGAGGTGGCTGCTGGCTGCAAACAGGAAAGTGGTAGCAGCAGGAGGAAACAAAAGTTGAAGTAATCCTGTCTCCTTCTGAGAGCCCATTAGAAGCTGAAGTAATAGCGTAGGGAAGACAACAGTGTCCCCTACTGCTTCTTCAAAGTGCGGTGTCTGGAACAAACACTTTAAGAAAACACCTGAAACCTTCCAAAAGATAAATGTCTTTCAAAAGAATTGTTCGGATTCCTTAAAAAAAAAACAAAAAACAAAAAACAAAAAAAACAGATAATTATCTGCTTGACAGATGTCTTCTAAATTCACATGTGCGTTTGAAGATTAAAAGGCTAATGGAAGTGCTTTTTCTGAGGCTTAACATGACAATCCTGATGCATCTGTGGTTTGTATCCAGTAATAAATTTCATAGGTGTATTTTTAGAGTTATTAAGTGAAACTTGCAAGAAGGACTTTTAATAGCATACATATAAGCAGTTTGGCTAACTAAAATATATACACGTAAGAAAAGGTTCCTTTTTCACTCACATATGTAAGTGAAAGGAATAGCGAAAAATCACTACTAAAATATGAAGGGTTGCATACACAAAATGCATGCAAAATTACCCTGTTCATATGTGCCCTCAACAAAGTTGTGGGACTCTCTGGAAGTATAGTAACAATTCAGTGAATTCTTTTGACTGTGTGCACTACTGTTTTTGATTACTAGCAGAGTGGCAGTAGTTATGTTATTTGTCTGCCTTTGTGGATTTTTTTTAACTTGTTCTTCCTTTTATTCCTTCATGCCTTCCCCTAGATTAGCACTGCGTACTCCTTTGAGTAGATTATATCAGGAAGTGGAGACTTTCAGATATAGGGCCATCTCGGACACATGGCTGACAGTAAACCGAATGGAACAGTATCGAACTGAATACAGAGGAGCGCTGCTTTGGATGAAAGATGTGTCTCAGGAGCTGGATCCAGATCTTTATAAGCAGATGGAAAAGTTCAGGAAGGTATGAAGTTTCCGGTAGTTTGCTAGAAAGGATGCCTGATGAGTGACAGCGGAGCGTGATTTTGCTTCTTCTGAGGAAGACGTAATTCAGCAGCACTAAGAATGCTATTTATCATAACTGATCTTTTCCATGTGACAGAACTTCAGTTAATGTGATTGGAATACAGTATCCCTCACTGGGTAAGAGGGGGCTGTAAGGAAAGATGTGGTAGGAAGAAATAGCATTTTTCAGTAGTTAATTCAACTTCAACTTATATTTTGATGATTTAAATAATACATATTTTTAAAGAAGGTTATCTAATTTTAAATACTTATCTGTGGTAACTGAGTGACTAATGGAAGAAGCTACGTCTGCTTTCTGCAAGGGAGGAGAAAATTGATTTGTAACTAAAAAGTAAGTCCACACAGAATAACAGAAATCTGTTGTTATATCTCTGGATGGAGTTAAAGGCCAGCATTTTTTAAGTTGGCTGCTGTAGGATTTTTAGGGGGGAGTTGTGGAGGTGGAATTTGCTTTAACATCCTTGTAAGACAACTAATAATACTGTAACTGTTAAGAATGCACTCTCCATAAATCATGTTCATTCAGTGTAACTCAAGTCTGCTACGCTCCTCCCCTCCCAAAGGGCTTGCAAAAATGGCAAGTCATAGTAGTCTGCAGATTTGCTACCAGGTGTGAGCATAGACGTTGTTTGGACTTATCCTGTCCCAGTTGGTTCAGGGATGCTGAAGAGGCCTTTGCATTTGTTAGTGCAGCTCTGGAGCTGTTTTTTTTTCCAAAGACTATAATGTTCGTAGTTTGGTGTTTATAAATCTTGACTACTATGAGGAGTTAGGATCGTAGGTGTAACGTGGTAGCTTGTGCTTTGAGTAAATGCAGTAAGAATTTTTACAGAAGCTGTGTCATAACCTAAAGCAGAAACTTAATAACCAGAAGTTAGGTTAAAGTGTGTGCACACTGAAAGTGTGGCCTTAGTACAGGTGATGTACAAAAGAGAACCCCTTTTCATTGGTGGCCTAAGCAGTCTTCCTTCTGTGAATGAAAGTATTTGGGGATGAAAGATGCTTAAATTGTGATTTTTAAAAACTTGAATAAACCATCCTGATCAGGAAGCACTGGCATGTATGTAGACTATGCCATTATTTGTAAACTGAAACTGTGATAACAGCAATTAAGAAAGGGGTGGAACAGATAAAACTCCAGCTAGTCATGTCATCTTTATTTAATGTTTCAGTACAGGATATTCCGATACACCTCATGGAACCAGACTTGTATTTTATTATGCCCTGTGGGAAATGTTTATAATGGCAAGTTCTTGCAGGTAAAATAATTGGTATGGTCTTGGCCTCAGCCAATTGCTTATGCATAACGTTTGATTTATTAGAAAAACACTTTAAAAAATAGAATGTTTGAACAAATAAAGCAGAACTGGTAATGGTCATGCAAAACTGATTTATAGCTTTCTTGCAAAACAAATGCTATGGAAGGTAGAAATTACGTAAATGGCAAAGTAATTAAAACAACATATGTTTTGTGTGGTGAGCTGCCATAGTTAAAAAGTTGCTTACAAAATTTCAGCTGTCTGAGGCTGCTGTGCTTCAAGGTCAGCAAAAAGAAGACTTTTTAAAAGCTCTTACAATAGGAGAATTCCTCCCCCCCCCCCTTTTTTATCATGCAAGCGTTTTGACACATTTCTAATCTAAAGTGAGTTATGTTTCGAGGTAAAGAAGCAATGAACTACTTGTATGCAAGCCAATTGTAAAATTCTGTAGCATTGCCTCAAATAGTTTTAAAAAAAGCCTTAGAGGGAGAATGTCTTTGAACCTTTTCTTTCCTTTGACTAGTTGTCAACTGAAAACCTTTTAGATCCATTGTAATGCAAAGAATAAAAAAGCTGTATACTTTGTAGCCAACAAAGTAAAGAAACACTCATGGTATCAGCTTTCATGCGTATCCCATCTGTGCAACAGGTATGTCAGACTCCTCTGAAGGTGTTAACAATTGCAGAAAACGAGCTTTCTTTTTCATTTTGCAAAAACTTTATAAAAATAAAATCCTAACCTATATGGATAGGTGTTGCCAAACAAGACACAGTAGGTAGTTTTTAGTCCTTTATGAATGTGGTAGACAAGCATAACTAGTGGTGGATACTGCATTCCTCAAAAATAACTCATCTCCCTTAATTATTGTTGTCTTTATGTTCTGTTCTTGCTTGCAGATCTTAATTGTGCCATAGTGTGGCAGTGTTATGCTAAGTTTTCAAGACTAATTTTGTATCTATAACAACAATTTAAGGAGTCATGCTAGTTTTATTTTGAGAAAGATATTGTAATTACAGATGTTTTGCTTTTAAAACATGCTATCACCAGAGAAGAAACGTTTCATCTGGAGCTGCATAGCTAGTCTGACACCAGCAAGCATTTAGTGCAGCGAAAAGAAAATCCTGACCAAGCACTTGGGGCAAAAAATTATTCTCTTCAGACTTCTAATTGTAAAAATCCTAAGTATTTACCTTACTTTTCTAGACATCTTTTTAGTTTTCAAGTAAACAGTTCTGTTTTACTGATCTTTAATGCAGCTTGTGCATTAGCAGTATTTATATCACTTGGTTATAGGAATGTTTCTCAAGTATGTAGCCTTTTATAATGTAATCCTAAATATATCATTATGTATACAGATACAGAACTTGCTTTTTGAGACCAAAGTTAAATCAATCCAGATGGGTTTTTCATACCTTCTCTCAGAGTAGCTCAGGCTAAAGGATCAATAGTTGAGTCAGTATTTTCAGAGCTGATAAAATCTGAGTTAAAACATTGACATTTTTGTAGTTCTCTTTCAAAACAGTGAGATACTTGAGACAAGTTTCTACTGCTGCTTTCAAGGCATCAACGTAAATATGTTAGATCTAATAATATTGCCACTTTCAAAGTGTTGCAGTGTATTTTAGCAATAATCTGCAGAACAACCTTTTTATGTTTTTCGTTGAAGATATCCATAGGATCGTAGTTCCTTGCGTCAAACCAAGGAAACAGATAAAGCATTTGCTTTTCCTTGCACAGTTCCATAATTGCCAAGTACCTCTACTCTTTTATTTTTTTTTCCTCCTATAAATAAATTATATGGATGCTTCAGTGCAGCTCTAGAGTAGTGGCCTTCTATCCCAAGTTCAGAGTTTGAAGTGCTGCTTGAGAGAATCTGAGCAGTGCCTTGGCAATGCTATGATATTTAAAAAATTTGAATGACTGAATATCTCTTATCTCCCCAAATTCTCCACCACTGATCAGGTTTTTAAGGCTCTTAAATTGAGGCTGTTTTATCTGGCTGATGACTGTGCACTCTAGCAAGAGTTCTGCTGTGGTGTCATAAAAATGCAGACCAAATAGCACAATTGCTGATGGCCCTCACCATGTCCTTCCCACAGTTCTGAAGAACAGGTAAGGTTTTTTTTTTTCATGTGTTTTCAGGGAAGGCACATGCTAATGTGTTAGGCCACCAGGCAACAGCCTCCCGTGAGCACCCACAGGAGCACAGAAGAGGCTCTGCTCATCAATTTTACTTAATTAAGATGTCTCAGATGCTTGTACAGTGCAGTATGGACACTGTCACTGAACTTGGATGTTACAGTTTCTCCCATAGCTTAATTTTTTCAGCTCTTTTTTTTTTGCCTGTTATGCGGACCTTTAGGCCAATCGTAAGAAAAATTGCATCTGTTGCATTGCAGGATGTATATCGTGCTATACCACGGAGCAAATTAATCCTTTCTGTATTTTTTTTCCTTCCATCTTCCTTCCACTCCTCTGCTTCCCCTTCTTTCTGAGGTTTGACCTCTTGCTGGAGCAGCTTGGTGAATACCCAGAGCTGCCATTCTGGGATCTCTCAGCCAAGCTGAGCTGCAGTGGTGTACTGGGAACTGGGTATGTGGAGGGTTGGGCTCAGTTTCTCCCTGTTGTCCAGTCCTTTCTGCTTTCCTAGAACCGCTTTCCCAGGTGCTTTGCTTCTGTCTGAACCAAACAAAGCTCAGGTGGGCAGAAGAACAGATTGAAGCAGTACAGGGGTAAAGAAATAATGCGTGGGCTAGGTTTGCAGTAAAGCTTTGTAACTTCCATGAGATTCAGCTGCTTGGAATGCAGCGCAAGTCGGGCATCTGTATGGCATTCAGATGGTTCAGAGTTTGTAAACACAAACACCATGTGTGTTCGAAGGGATACGGTCTGGAAGAAAGCTGGTTCTTGACAGAATGCAATTGCAGTGGGGAACAGGTAGCATGGTTTTGGTTTGTTCTGGGCCTCCTTGTCTCAGAAGAAGAGAAAGGCCCAACCCCGCAGTGCATAAGCCTGAACTACTTCAGTATTGTTAAAGAAGTAGACTAGATCTTACTGTGGAAGAGAAGTGTCAAAATATTCCCAGTTCCCCCACAGATTCCAAACAATTATAGGACCCTTAATAAGCTACCTGTTACTTTGCATGCAGTTGTGAGAAGCGTACGGGCTTACGTTTGAGTTGTTTGGCACCAGTTTATCTCACAGTTGTTCCTAGCTGCAATACTTTTTGTACTTGAAATTAATGCGCTTAAAGGACATTTTAAAGATAAGCCTGGCAAGAGAAAGGAAAAAGCAGTGAGAAGAGAAAAGATCAACAAGAAGCATTCATAGTGATATAACAAGAGCTGAAACTTGTTTTTTATAAATGTACTGGTGTAGGGAGTAGCTGATCTATGCAAGTTCTCTTGTAAATGTCTTTTAAGAAAAAGTTAGTGCAGACGGTTGGGGAATAACGAGGCACTAAATAAATCCAAGGTTTCCCTTCTGACCTTTTAATCAATGAAGTATGTGTATTTAATGTGAAGATCTTAGCAAGCATGGATAAGTTGCATCTGGCACAGTCTTGCAGAGAAGGCTTAGGAGGCCGTGTTCCCCTCCTCCCTCTCTTGTCTATTAGCACTGCCTGGTATGAGTGCACTTTGTCTCTTGTGATGGTGAAGAGGCTGTACTGTGTTATTG